GTGCCCAGCACACACACTGCCCTCTCTCGAGGGCGCCACCTCCTGCCAGTGTGAGGAGGGCTACTTCCGGGCTCCACAGGACGCGCTGGCCACACCCTGCACACGTGAGTTCTGAGAGCCAGGGAGGGGGCCAAGGAGGACGTGGGTGGAGGCCGACAGGTCACTTGGTCAGTGAGTTAACTACAGGGGGTCACCCAACTCTGCCCACATTAGTAACTCCCTAGCCCTGGGCAGTCCCACACCAGAGGGGGACGTATCCTATGACTGGACAGCGGTGGGTTCCTGGTGCCCAGCTGGTCCTGGACCACACCCCAATGTCTGCCCTCTGCAGGCCCACCCTCTGCCCCACACTACCTCACAGCTGTGGGCATGGGCGCCAAAGTGGAGCTGCGCTGGAAGCCCCCCCAGGACAACGGCGGCCGTTCGGATGTGGTGTACAGCGTCACCTGTGAGCAGTGCTGGCCGGAGTCGGGAGAGTGTGGGCCCTGCGAGGACAGCGTGCGCTACTCGGAGTCACCACACATGCTGACCCACACCAGCCTGACGGTCAGTGACCTGGAGCCTCACATGAACTACACCTTCGCCGTCGAGGCCCGTAACGGCGTCTCGGGCCTGGTGGCCAGCCGCAGCTTCCGCACTGCCAGCGTCAGCATCAACCAGACAGGTGAGGGCAGTGGCTGTGCCCTAGGGAGCCTGTTTGGGTGGGCAGCCCGGCCGAGATCAGAGAGAGACATGAAGACTAACACCGTATATGCTTGCGTATGAGCCGAGTTTTCCAGCGCAGTTTTTGTGGTAACAGTAGGTGCGTATACTCGAGTATATACGGCAGTAAGAGGCACAGACTCTAGACTCTGGAGTCTGCTGAAGATGCTGACGTTGCCACTATGGGGCTGTGTGGCCCTGAGCAAGTGACTTAGCTCCTCTGGGCCTTGATTGCCTCACCTGGGGATGGGGATAATCACAGGGGTGCTGTCTTCCTCGTGCATTGCGTACACCGTGCCTGAGGTCTTAAAAGCCTGCAGTCAGCCACCCAAGGCACGGCTTGGAGCAACAGAGGACTAGAGAGAGTTGGGAACAGGAGGAGGAAATCCAGTGTGTGTCCCTCATGTGACAGCTGCCCCTTTGCCAGGAGACCAGAAGAGCTAGACCATCCCTGGCCGTACTATTACTGAATGTTCTGATCAAATCACCGACGGAAGAATTCTGACCAAAAGGAGTGCTGGATGCTAAACTGAATTGCAAATATTTGCGGATTCTAGATTTTCTGGAACCACAGAGGCTGAACTCCAGAATTGATTATCTTGAGATAGTCTTTAAACATTAAACCAAGACTATCCCCCGAAGCCCTTATAAAACCAAGCGGTAGTTTAACTTAACCAGCAATGAATGTCTGCCCGGAGCATTGTGGTGGTTTAAGATCGATCTACGTGGGATCAAAGCCACTGGAAAGATGAGCCAGGAACCTCCGGGGCAGCGAGTGTACGCTGCGGGGGAGGAACAGCTCGGGGAAGGTGGGGAGGGCGGTTGCACAACTCGGAGAAGGTAATCAGTGTCATGGAACAGTGTGTGTCAAAGCGACCGAATTGTCTGTGAACAGCAACCAGATGCCACTGTGGGGTGAAAGCCATGCCGACAGGGTGGAGGAGATTTATTAAGTCCTCGGAGAGGATGAGCTAGGTCCTTTTCTTCTTCGTAGTTATCACTCCTTTGTGAATCCCTGGGGAGGGGCTAGGGGGCTGGAGCTGGCAGTGGGGGGTCCCAGGTGGGGCTTGAAGGACCCTGACTCACTGGGCTCTGGGTGGGACTAGCACCGCGCACACTTGCCTGGAGGGGTTCCTCACGCCTCTCCCCGCCTACTGTTCTGTTCAGAACCCCCGAAAGTGAGGCTGGAGGGCCGCAGCACCACCTCACTGACTGTCTCCTGGAGCATCCCCCTGCGCCAACAAAACCGTGTGTGGAAATACGAGGTCACCTACCGAAAGAAGGTGAGCGTGCCGAGGGCCTGGGCTTACCTCCGCTGGGCTGGGAGCCGGGGTGGACAGGCTGGTCACTCGGATGCTCGTTGCACCACACAGCTGGGGAGCCAGAGGTCTGTGGCTGCCCAGAGAGCCACATGCCTCTTCTCGGCCAGCACAGCAAGAGAAGACGGTGTTCTGGGGGAGGTAGTGGAAGGGGGGAAGAGTGAGGCTTTGGGGGCCAGACAGCTCATTTCCCTTTCGGAGCCGTGGGCTCCAGTTTGCTAGCAAACTTGCTGAACTCAGCCTTGCCCTCCCTCTTTTTGACCCACAGGGGGACTCCAACAGCTACAACGTGCGCCGTACCGAGGGCTTCTCCGTGATCCTGGACGACCTGATTCCCGACACCACCTACCTGGTCCAGGTGCAGGCGCTGACACAGGAGGGCCAGGGCGCCGGCAGCAGGATGCATGAGTTCCAGACGCTGGGTGAGTAGGGCTGGCCCGGGACGGAACTGACCATCCGTAACCCAATACTGCATCCTGGTACATTCCATGAATGCTGACGTGTTCAAGGCCCCGCAGGGACCACCACGGTGAGGCCTGGGGGTTGGAAGGCCAAAGGACAGGGTCAAGGACATGGGTGCTGAGGGCAGCATGATGAGAAGAAAAGGATGTGTTCTGCCAACATGTCGACTCAAGTTCAAATCCCCCGTGAGAGCCTCACACTCCTGGGAGCACTTACTGGGGAATCATAGAGAAGCCACTTCTTTGGGGGTATCATTAGTCCCAGCGTGAAGTGGGACTCGGGATCCCTCCCCAGTAGGAGCCCAGCACAGAGCAGATGCCCGGTGTCTTGGTCCATAAAGTAGGCCTCAGCTGAAGCTGGGGTGGTGCCCTCCCTGGTTTGGGGTGTGGAGGTCCTCTGGTCATCACCTGGTCTCCCCTGACAGCCACGGAAGGATCTGGCAACATGGCGATGATTGGCGGCGTCACCGTCGGCCTTCTCTTGCTCCTCATACTGGCTGGAATCGGCTTCTTCATCCATCGCAGGTCTGTCAGCGCCTCGCTCCCCAAGGGCTTAGGGTGGGACACAGAGGGGTCGGGGGGCCTCAGTTTGCTCATCTGGAAAATGGGCCCGTTAGGAAATGCTCCCTGCCTCCTACTGAGGTGAGGACAGAATGAGCCGAAAAGGGCTTAGCATGGTGCCCAGCACCCAGCAGTGCCCCAGACATGGGGTGTCTGAGTGGGGTACCCACACTTCCTGTGGACACCCAGGCAGGAAGCCCTCATTCCAGCTACATGCAGGGGCCTTTATGGGGTGAAGACCCAAGGGGAGGGCTGAGGGCCTGTTCCCCTCCTTCCCACCTCCCACCCAGCCTTCCCGGGTTCTCTGAGGGGGAGGCTTTGACCACGGGGTCCGAGAGGTGTGCTTACCTGGCCACAGCTAGACTCACTGAGCGTCTTGTGTGTCTCCCCACGTGGCCTTTCCAGGAGGAAGAGTCTGCGAGCCCGCCAGTCCTCTGAGGACGTATATTTCTCCAAGTCAGGTGAGATGCGGCCCCATCCATGCCTAGTGCTCCTACTGCCCTCTTGCCCCCGAGCTCTGTGGTGGAGGTGGGAGCAGCAGGGGATTCCAGCGTCCCAGGGGTGGGCCCAGAGCTGTCCCTGGCAACTCTAGGGACTGACCCTCACAGGCAAGTCTGAGTCTGGAAGGCGCTGTGATGTTGCCCCTCCTTCCTTAGGGCACCCCTCACAGTTGTCCCTCCCCACGCTAGCTACCTGTGACCCTGCCCCTTTGCCCCCCCTCCACAGAACAACTGAAACCCCTGAAGACATACGTGGACCCCCACACATACGAGGACCCCAACCAGGCTGTGCTCAAGTTCACCACTGAGATCCACCCCTCCTGTGTCTCGCGGCAGAAAGTGATCGGAGCAGGTGAGGCCAGCTTCCTGCACTGGGGCTGGAGGAAGCGGGGAGCAGGCATGCAGGTTAGAGGGCCCTGACACTGGCTGACTGGGGCGCCCTGCCCGCTGTGCTCCTCCACAGGAGAGTTTGGGGAGGTGTACAAGGGGGCACTGAAGGCCTCGGGGAAGAAGGAGGTGCCTGTCGCCATTAAAACGCTGAAGGCCGGCTACACGGAGAAGCAGCGCGTGGACTTCCTCAGCGAGGCCAGCATCATGGGCCAGTTCAGCCACCACAACATCATCCGCCTGGAGGGCGTCGTGTCCAAGTGTGAGCACCCAGGGCATGGGGGCTGGTGACCAGGCACCCACCTGGGCCTCCTTCTTCCCCACCTGTGCCTACCTCCCCATACAACCTGTGCCTACCCCACACACCTGTGCCTACCTCCCCACACACCTGTGCCT